TGTTTTCGCTGCTCTAGGCGCCCGGTGGACGCCGGCATGTGCTGTGGCGGGGAGGAGGGCGGCGCCAGACAGTCTGACAGACCTCGTTTCCCGCAACTTCCATACCTGCTACAAGGCTCTGTTACCTACGCTGGTGAGGGACGTTCTGTTTGTGTGCATTTTCCAGTAACTTCTGTAGGCCTTGGCTCAAGGACTCTGCATTGCGTCTCATGTACATCTTTTCTTAAGTGTTTTTTTGCCATTTCTGGAATTGTCCTCGGTTTCTCCTTAGCTCATAGGTCATAGCTACAGAAATATTAGAGTATTTAAGGCATCCGCATCAAGCATCAGATGGCTTTGCATCCAGAAAAAACATTGATAACTCAGTTTGAAGCACCAAGCATGTGTACATGGCTCTAGAAAATACAATAAATGCATAATGTTAAGCTTCTCAGTGCCTGTGGTTCTCATTTGTCCCCAAGCCTCGTCCTCCTGCTGAGTTAGTGTCCAGACACCTTCAGCCTGGTGGTGTGCCCTGGGCTGGGTGGGTCTTTGTGACTTTCTTCTCACACAGGCATGGAAGCTCCCGGGACTCCATTCTAGGTGGCAGAAATGCTTCCTTATCATCATGTTGCAGCTCCAGGATATGCTGGAGGCAGAGGCGTCTGAACGAGAACCGTGCCCACAGCCCATTCCCATGCAGCTGAGCTCAGGACCCCAAGGCAGCCCAGTGCTGCAGAGCCAGCGAAAAGCTCACTAACTGAGACGGACCCCAGAACTTGATAAAGTAATCACAGTGGCTTGGGTCTGGCCCAGAAGCAAAGCCTGGTCTCGTGCTGTGGGAGGGTTCCCACTGCTGTCTCCATACTTGGCACGCACCGCCTTTTGGCTAATGTAATGATAGGCAGTTCTGCTGTCGTGCTGCTGCAGCGGCGACTCTAGGCCTGTGAGCCCAGACTGCTGAGTGTGCTGCATCGAGGAACCGAGGCCTTGGAACTGATTTCTGCATGAAGCAGTGGCTGTCTGCATGTGCTGGGTCACGGCCTGGCTGTGAGAACAACCGCCACAAACCTGACTGTCTGCAAACTCATTTCGCTCCCTCTTCCCAAACGTGCTTTGGGTTCAGAAGCTGATTGCCATGTGACTGCTGGAAACCCAGCTAAGGCTCATTTGCAAAAGTCTAGGCAGCTGGAGTTCAAAACCTAGGCCTGCCTGGCTTCTGCTGTGCTGTCACTGCCCCCTGGGCCAGAACTGCTCTTGTGTGTAGAGAAGCCATGGTCACTTTACATAGCCCCTAGAATGATGCTCTCCGACAGTCGATCTCTCCAACAGTCACCCCCACAGGACCCCCTCCAACTCCCACCTGCCCGGCTGACATTACCAGACTGCCTTTTTTTGGGGGGTGAGATATTTTTACTATAGGGCATTTGTGCTTGCCAAAGTCACAGACAGCAAGAAATCACCCCATGGTGGGAATGGCCACGCCACAATCCCTTCTCTAATCTTTTGGGACTTTGGACATGGACGCACATGCACCCGAGTTTTAAGCCTCTGGGTCTGGGACTGGAACTGCAGATGACTCCGTGGGAATCCAACAACATGACCATGCTGTTGGTCCCACCAAACTGCCTTCTAACGGATCTCCAGCATGGCTCAGCACCACGCCCAAACTGCAGTGGCTCCCCATTTGCTACTGAAAACTCCCCGAGTGTACCCTCTGCCCAGCCTGCCCTACCCTGTTTTCCAGGGTTCCCAAAGTGACTACCATATCCTTGCCCTGGGCTCTTGTGCATTTGCATTTCCATGGCCCACCAGGCTCTGTGGTACTTGGCAGGAGGTGGGGCAGAGGGGACCAATCAGGGCAAGTGCAGGTGCCCTCCAGAACACCAAGGGTGGAGCAGTTGCTTCCACTGCAGTTGGCTTGGCTCGGCCTCGGCTGCCGGAGGTGATTCTGCAGACGCTAAGGGCCAGCCCCCTCCCCACTGCCAGGTACCAAGGGACCGCTGTGTGGCTAGAAGCAGAGCAGGGCCAGCATGGAAGGGTGGAGGTGGGCGGTCAGAGCAGGCCTCCAGCAATGAGGCTGACTTCTGCTATGACCTGAGCCAGTGGCTGTGTCAGAGCCACTCCCTGGCCAGGACTGCTGCTCCTCCAACCCTGCACCAGGCTGGCTTTGCCCACGGGACTTCTCGCCCCTCCATACCTCCAGGCTACGTCTCCACCCTGGCTCTCCCGCCAGGAGTCTTGGGGCCACAGACTGCCCCTGCAATGGAGCAGCTTCTGCCTGGTCCCAGACCCAAACCCGGCCCTAGCCCTGAGGCTGCGCCTGCACTCCTGGTCGCGGAAAGGGACTGCGCACCTTCGTATTGACTGGGCTGAGGACCCTGGGCCTGCGATCAGAGAGACACCCCTGAACTTCGCAGGGGGGCCGCTTAGAATTCGGGCGCCTCGGCACTCCCTTCAGCAGTGCTCTCTGACACCTCAGCCCTCGGGACCCACTGTACCATGGCTGGCCAGGGGTCGCCTGCTCGGGCCTGGGACCAAGCCAGGCAGCCAGCATGCGAAGTGGGCGTGGTGATGCCGCTGCGCCGCAGGGCGTCAGGGGGCAGGAGAAGCCCCAGGTTGGACAGGGGCAACGACAGAAGGCCAGTGTGCAGGCTAGGCCCCTGTGAGGCTGGGCCCCATGGGAACCTGTGGGGGAGGCGACACCTGAGATGCCCAGGTAGGAGAGGACACCTGGTCCAGGAGGGTCCCACACACGAGAGCACCACCCTGGAACACCTCCCGACCATGCAGTCAGTCCTCTGGAGGATGGGCTGCATCCTGGAGTGAAGTCTGACCTGGGAGGAGTGTGGGAAAGGAGTGGGCAAGCCAGGACCTGAGTGGACACTCCTGGGGGTGGGGCCAAAGGCCTTGGTGTGTGGGTGAAGGGGAGGAGCCTGGACCCTCCAAGCTGCTTTTTCTGTTGTCTCCATACTAGGCCTGTGTGGAGGTTCCCTCCCGTCACCCTACATGGTAAGGACTGGCCCACGCAGCCTTCCTGTAGCCGCCAGTCTGGGCCCATGTCGCCCAGCCGTTCCATCACCACCCAGCCCGCATCCTACGCACACCTCCGGGAAGGGCCCATCCCTGCCCGCCATCATCCGCTCATCGGTTCATCGGCAAGGCTGGCCTGGCCCCCTGGCCCTGTGCACCTAAGGCAGAGGTTGGAGAGACAAGCAAGTGCATTTCCTCAGGTCCACTCCCTGACCTGGCCCTGCTGCACAGTGTCCCCACCACCTACGGGACACCCAGGCAGAGCTCCTGACCTCACCGCCCTCCGAACAGCGGCCTGAGCCTGCGTGCTGTTGGCTAGCTGGGCGAAGCAGGGTGGGGAGGCCTGCATGCCGGACAGTGCCAGCTCCGTGAGAGGCCAGCGCCCCCGGCCTGGGGGCTGAGCCGAGGGGAATATGGGCAGGTGGGTGCCAGGGCGTCGGGTGAGCAACAAGCACAAGGAGCACCTGGCACAGGCCCAGGTCCGGGTCCTGCTCAGGCTTTCCAGTGTCGCCTTCCTCTGATGCTCCATCTGTCACTCCCAGTCACCCAGTCTACCGCTAGGAATCAAGCCGCCAGCAGGGGCTGCTCCCAGCTCTGGGGAACTCCTGCTGCAGGGTGCCCCTGGCAGAGGTGCAGTGAGTGCCGTGGGCCCCGCCCCCACTGGCGTCTTCTGCCAAAATGGGTGCAGGCAGCCACCTGTAAGACTGGGGGGGGGTGACAAGGGCTCGACTGGTGTCCCTACAGGCACAGGGAGGGAGGGCTGGTGACGGACGGGGTCCCAGGTGCTATTCTTTTTTCATTCATGATCCTGTGCGTGCGTGGTGGGGAGGGGAGAGGCATGCCCTCCACAGGGCAGGGTGGTGCCACCATCCCCTTCCGGCAGCCCTCCAGCCTGCCGGGGTCCCGGGCACCCAGTCCCAGGCAGCTCCCCGTTCTGCGGTCCAGTGCTGCCATGGGCCACAGGAGCGGCCTCAGCACCGCTCTTGTTTCACTAGAGGGGCTCCGTGTGTCCCACGCACCTGAAATCTGAAGGGGTCCAAAAAAGGAGGGACAACGTGTGTGAGCTCCAGGGGTGCCAGGCCCGGCTGCTCCTGCTTCCACATGCCGGCCTCCCGGCACTGGCGAAGCCGGGCAACAGCCTTGGGTTTGTACTCAAGGTTTCGCCCGTCGCGAGGCAGGGGTGGGGCTTTGCCTGAAACACTGCCGTGGCCTGAGGCCCTCGCTGGGCCTGTGCCACCGCCTCACCGCAGTCAGTCCTGTCTCAGAGACCGCCGCCGCTGGCAGTGCCCTTCCCCGAGGAGTCTGGAAGGAGGTGCGAAGAAGCTTCCAGGTCTTTGCAGAATTTGGACTCTGGCTCCTGCCACCTCATTCTGCCTGCCTTGACTGCACCAGACCCTTACCAGAGTGTCTCACCCACCTGCCCCGGAGGCCTCTGGTCCTGGCCGCGGCAGACCCTCGGGCCTCTGTCCCAACCCGTCTGCCTCCTCCTGCCCCTGGACTTTCATCCTCCAGAACTGCCTACAAGATTCTAAGGCTGCAACCACACAGCATGTGATGTTTTGTTACCACAGCTCTGGGCGACCAGTACAGCCTTCAAGGTCACCGCCCGTGACCAGAGCAGGGGCAGGACGCCCGTCCCAGGCCACACTCAGCTGTGTAAGTTCCCACCCTGGGACTTGCCTGGGTCACAGGATGCCTGGAGACCCATCTTGACTGGGTCTGGCCCCAGAAGAGGGCGCTTTCCCTGCATTGCACAGCCTGGCTGCTGTTTGCATCTGTATTTTTGGCTATTTTTATAATTTTTTAAGGAATTATTTTATTTAACTTTATTATTATTTTTCAGTTTGATCAGAGAGACAGAGAAAGAGAGGGAAAGTGAGAAAGCAAGCCACCAAGTCCAGGACTTGAACCTCAGTTGGCCATGTGGGAGCCCAGCACATTTAACTACCATGCCACTTACTGGTCCCGCCATTTTTATAAATTAAGTATTCCAAGTAAATTCACATCAGAAGGAAATAAACGGCACAATAAATTCATGGAAAACGAAAACCAAAACAGGCCAGCAGGTGGTATAGTGGTTACGGCACTGGGACTCCTGTGTAGCTGACTGCGGTTGGAGTCCTGGACCTGGCGACTTGCTTTCTCACTCCCCTCACCCAGTCAAATTTTAAAAAGTTAAATAATTATTTTTTAAAAATGATGAATAAAACTACTCTTTAAAAACCAAACGGCCAAGCTCCCTGGCCCCGACTAGTTGGGAATGTCCGATGACCGGCTCCCGGGATGAGAGCGGGCACTTGGAAGTGGGTCTGCAGATGCCTCTGGGATTCTGAGAAGCACTGAATCCGGAAGTGGGAAGGAGCTGGCGGCTGTGCACTGGCCTCTCACGGAGCTGGCACTGCCCGGCATGCAGGCCTCCCCACCCTGCTTCGCCCGGTCACCCTGTCACATCAGTCCTCACTTCTGAAGAGCCAGAGTCCCCAGAGGGCAGGTGGAACTGCCTTGCCCAGGCCCAGGCCACCTGGAGTGCGCAGATGGAGACCTCGACCACAGGCCCCACTCGGGCTGGCACAGAAAGCCTGCCGCCCAGGCTCAGGGCAAGGGCCCCTCTGTGTCCACAGCCAGGCATGTGCCCCACCCTCAGAGTCTCCACTGGCTTTTTTTTTTTTTTTTTTTGGAGAGATTCTGTAAAAGCACGCGTGAGCTCGCCAGACAGGCAGAGACAGAAAACGAGAAATCACCCCCCAGGGGTGATGCCATGCCACAGTCCCTTCTCTTCCTTCCATTCTCCTCTCAAGATCTTGGGCATGTACACACTCATGCCCAGCATGAGTTTAAGCCACTGGGTCTGGGACTCAAACCACAGTTGACTACATGGGAGTCCAGCGACATTGCCGTTACACCTACTGCTGGTCCCTCCACTGGTTTCTTTTAGAGGAAGACTAAGTGAGGGGAGCCGGGGAACCCTGAGGTCACCAGCTAGCTCCTCTGGCCTCCGGTCCCTGGAAGCAGGGGACAAGCCTGACTTCACAGCCTGGCACTGGGGATCATGTAGGGTGTGACTGCACAGGACAGCTCAGCAGCTACAGAAGGCTTCCTCCAGGGAGCCCTCACTGACCTCCTGGGCTGGCTCAACCCAGTTGTGTGCAACTTGCTCAGGTACTGAGATGGACGCCCCCACCCACTGCCGAGGGCCACTGGCTGAACGGCCGAGACCACAGCACATCCACGAGCCCTTCACTGTCCCCGTGCCTCTGTGGGCTGGCCTTGCAGCCGAGGGAACGGGTGCTCAGCTTGTCCCAGGTCACGTGAGGACTCGAGCGTACACATCACCCCGCGGGCCCTTCAGTCTGGGTGAGGTGGGAGCAAGCCGCCACTCCCCGCACACAAAGCCGGACTTGCTTAAAACAAGGGTTCTTTATTGCCTGGGCACTTCCCGTGCGGTGACGCTGCCGCAATGACCAAGTCCTCTTGGACCAGTCTGCCTCTTAGGACAGCCTGTCACCCCCGGGAAGATGAGGCGGCCGGGGGTCCGCCTTCCCCCCAGAAGGTCCACACTGGCCACCCTGTGCCCACCAGTAAGCCCCCGGTGCTGTCAGACACTGGGCATCAAGCACCTGGGACTGGAACTGGCCTTCGGCCATGGCTTGGGCTGTTCCGGCGCGGGGAGCTGGGGGGTCCCGTGCTGCTCTCTGCAAAACCTCTGCATGCCTGGGAGCCCTGGCTGCTGGCGGAGGGTCAGAGACCCTGACACCCAGCACTGACAGGACTTCCCCAGTACGGCTGCATCGCAATTTACCCGGAGACCCTCCCAGGGCCTACCTCCTCCTGCCCAGGTCGTCAGCTGATGTGGACCCTCCAGCAGGCCCCATGGCTGCCTGGTGTGCCCCCGGTCACTCCTGTGGGAGTGGCAGCAGCTGGGGCACCCCTGCAGTGCCATGTGGAGTTACTGGGGTGCCCCAGGAGAGGAGCCAGATCTCCAACACAGGGAGGCACTCTGAGCTGCCCCTGCCTCCGCCAGAGTCCTGGGAGGTGGCCAGGTGTCTCCTCAGGAGCTCGGGGCACGGAAGATCGGGGAGTTTGCAAGCCCCTGGGGAGCCTGTTGGTGGCCCGGTGGAGCCAGCTTTCAGGGCAGGAGCACCAAGGCGGTGGCTGGATGCCTGTGGGCCAGGCTGGAGTGTCCGGAAGGCCCCCAGGAGAACGTTCTAGCACAGTGCCTTCACTGAGCCGTGTGGTGCAGGGCCAGCACCACCTCTGGCCCCTGAGGTCTTGGGCGAGTTTCCCAATGTACTGACACGTGGAGTGAGTCTGATAGCCAAGTATGTCCGTGTTGGTTTCTGAACCCTAGGAAGCTGGGTGCGAGCCGGCGTCACAGGCTGGAAGGCTGGCCCAGCGCGGGCCCCGTGGGCACAGCTTCACCCTCAGGCCGGGCCTCCTCGCCTCGCGCATAGGTGAGCACGACGGTGACAGTGGCAAAGGTGGCGGCGTTGACGGGAAAGGCGCGCAGCAGCGTGGAGGTCAGCCCCCGTGTGAACACGCGCCAGCCCTCAGCCTGGTAGCTCTGGCGCACGCAGTCGAGGATGCCACGGTAGCGCGGGGCGCCATGCACCCCGTCGGCCTGCAGCCGCGATTTGACCACGTCTACGGGGTAGGTGGAGAGCCAGGACACGATGCCCGACCTGCCTCCCCCCAGCA